AGTCAAANAGATACATCCTCCCAAAGTATGAAGGCGAGTATTGGGTATAAATAAATCAGGAAATATTGTCCACTAATCACATACGAATTCAAGAGGTGTGAGTTCCTTAAGAGCTTTGAGTCTTTTAGCTTAATTGTAGGCCATAACGAAGCTATAAAGATGCTCTTTGAGTTACTAATGAGATTAGTAGAGTAATACCCTTGAACTACAACATCTTTTAGCATCCTATTCATACGCTCAACTTGGCCACTTGTCGAGGGATGTCAGATTTTAGTAAGACGATGTTCAATGTCATTTTTGAAAACTCTATCAAATATGCGCTAAAAAGCGTGTTTATGACGTTCTTAATTCTCATAGGGTAATTTTGATTAAATTACGCAAAAACTCAGTAGCTATTGGTTTTATAGCGTTATTATGCAGTTTAACATAAGCAAGTTTAGCTGTAACTTCCCTTCTTCTGTTATAACTTCTGCGATATCAATATGGAAATAACCGATTGGACATAGCTTGAATTTCTTTTTGGCTTTTATCTCTCCTTCAACATCTGACAGTATGCTAATGCCGTGTCTTTGCAAACAATGATGCAAACTAGACCGAGTTAAACAAGGAATTATGGCCCGCAAAGAATAAAGGCAATTGTCCAAAGGAAGAAGTATATGCTTGCGAAAAGTGACAATTATTGCTTCTTCCCCTTGAGTTGACATCTTTGATTTTCCATGTTTTGGGCCAATTGCAGCGTCTATAACAAATGAGCGTTTTTTCCATTTTACAATAGCCTTCGGATTAAGATTATAGTGCTCTGCAAGCTTTGCTATACTCTCTTTACTGTTTTGTATTACTCTACACACCTCCTATATTGTTTTGGCGCACCCATGTAATACTTGTCACATAATAACTTTAAACGAGGATAATATATAGTTATATAGTGGGGCTGTATGGTTTAAGAATCTATAAATCTCTCTGAGTAAAGTCAGAATGATGATTATCTTTATAAAGATAGACGCTTGATTAAATGTTCTATGGACTGAGAGTTTTTATAGACCGCTCAATATGCTCAGAAATTGGCGCAACAATAGTTATAATCTTATTATTTGGCAATCTTAAAGATAAAGAATATGAATGAAGGTGCATTTTATTTTCTATTCCATCAACAAAAGCTTTTTTACCTCCATACTTACCATCACCAAGAATGGAGCAGTTTATATGGGATAGATGCGCACGTAACTGGTGGGTTCTACCAGTAATGGGTTGCAACTTTAAATAAGCCACATTATGTTTTAGTTTTGCTAGAACTGAAAAATGTGTGGTAGCATTTTGAGAAGAATTTTCGTCTACAACCACTTTTTCTTGTCCAGCAATGTACTTCTTCACTAATGGATGGTTTATTATTCCATTATTTTTGCTTGGTATACCAGAAGTAAGTGCTAAATAAGTTTTCTTAATCTTTCGTCCTTTAAATNCTTCCATTAAATACTTTGCAACTCTAGCATCGCGTCCAAATATTATCAGTCCACTAGTATCTCTATCGAGTCTGTGTACAATTTTAAATACTTCTTTCTCGCGTATTTGATCAAGTAGGTCGCTAATGTTAATTTTTCCACCTTGAACGGTTACTCCTGCAGGTTTGTTAATAGCCAAGATATATTCATCCTCATATAATATATTTTCTTTTAATAATCCTGCTAACTTTGCATTTGGTTTTGGTTTGTAATTAAATATTTGGTCGGAATTAAAGTGCTTTATTGTTATAATTTGACTTGAATTAATTCTATCACTAGATTTGGCTTTACAATCATCAACCTTAATTAATCCCTTTCTTAAAAATTTCTCAATTATAGACTGCTTTAGGTGAGGAAGAATCCTTCTTATGCATCTGTCCAACCTAACGTTATCATCATCTACTGATATGGTTTTTGTGTTCACTTTATTTATAGCTAAATATTATTTTATGTCATATATAGAATAAGCAATAGACCTCTTGTGAAACTTGCTTATGAAGCTTATATATATTATATATACAATTATATTAGCATAGCTAAACATA